TATATATATATATGGGATTGGTAAGATTTTTTAAAATCTTTTTGAGTGTCTCTTCTGCTCAACAAAGATGCATTTATTTGATAAAAAAAAACACAAAATAAAATTAGTAAAAATTATTATTAAAAGTTTCCAACATTGATCACAGGAATAAATTGCTTTTTACAATATATTCACATTAAAAATGTTATTTTAAATTGTAATAATATTTCACAATTTTTACTGCAGTTTATCAAATAAATGATTCCTTGGTGAACAGAAGAGACATTCAAAACCATTCAAAAGTTTTACCGATCCCATCTTGTTTGTGTGTGTGTGTGTGTGTGTGTGTGTATTTCAGTTTAAGTTTCTTTTGTACATCAAGTAAAACTAAATGAAAATGGCAAATGTTGCTTTGGCAACTAGCTGAAATATAATTAGTTTGTTTTTATTTTATTTATCATTTCATTTACCGTTTATTTTATTTCAAACAAAAATATCTTTTTAAATGGTTTAAGTTTTAGGGTTAGTTAACTATAACAACCCTGCAGTAAAGTCTTCAGTAGGTAGTTTGCTAGTATTCCATTGCAGTAGCTCATAATTTGTTGTATGTTGTTTTACAACAAATTTTATAAGGATGCTACCATATCGATGACCTCAGAGCTAATAGCCAAAAAAAAAAACATTTTGTTTTCATAGGGTTTTTATGTTTCCTAAGACACATATTTTCAGGTAGTTTTGGCCCGTCTGAGTGTGTCCAGGTCAGGAAAGGCCTTGTCCCATGATACAGAGAGCCTCTGTAGAGCTGGAGCCACTTGACATTAGTGTCTGTACTGAGAGAGATGAGATAAGTAGAGAGAGGAGGATAAGATGCATCTGTCCAGCTCATCAAACCCTCTTTTGTCTTGTGAACTGACCACTGTTTGTTCTAGTGGAAGCTGGACCGAAGGCGCCTGAGCACCAGCAAAATGTATGTTTCCTGCCATATATGTTTCATTGTTTCCTTTTCATAGAAAGATCACCGTTTAATGATGATCCTATCAGCACTATTAGTTGTTTTGTGGTTCTTAATGGCTCTTGCAATGTGCTTCGTGTATTTCAGAGTGAAACAGAATATCCAGTGGGAAATAATGTAGGATGGAGCTTTGTTTTATCCAGTGAGATTTGATTGGATCATGAAATGTTGAACTATGATATTATTAGGCTTTTGAATGCTTAAAGTATTCAGCTTTAGCACGCAACCCTTCTTGCACCATTCGCACTATGAATGACTTCTCGAATCATACAGCTTTTCTGAGCGATCAGAGATACAATAAAAAGTAAAACAGCATCTGAACTCTTAAGTGAGATCAGTGTTGCTCACTCTGAGGAAAGTGTGGAGTGGTCAAACTATAATGGGAGCATTTGTAAATGGACTTCCTGTGTTCTCTCTTCCCCCTCTCACCAGGCTAATATTGGACAAATGGATACGGCCAAGGATATGTGGAAAATGATCATGGGAAACCTCGCACTAATTCAGGTTGGAGACCTTCTAAAAATATCAATCCTGTTTGTCTAATGTACATGCCAGCTCTTCAGTTCACAAAGGTTTTGTTTCCAACAAGCAGCGGACATCTGATTATTTGGCAAATCTGACTGTGAAATAAGTAAATAAGCATATCAAATCTGATGTTTACTTACCAGATCCATATGTGATAAAATCTGAATAAAATAATTTTTATTTAATGTGTCTTAGTCTGAATTCAGATTTCTGTTGTTGTTGTTTTTTGTTTTTGACATTACATTTTAGTATTATTTTTAAACTGTTATAGCATTTAGTAATACTTTGAATTAGATTTTTTATTTTTATAGTCATTTTGTTATGTGATTTCCTTTTTAATTAGTTTTAGTTTTTTTTTATATTTCTGTTAAGCTTTATTTAAATTTTCAACTTATTTCAAATAACATTTTTAATTGTCATTTGATTATTTAAGTTAAATTTTTTTCTAATATTTACATTTTCGTCTTTATTTAAAAGAAAATTATTTTTAATAGTTTATTTAACAATAAGAACACCGAGCGCCATATGCAGTGTGTAGTATTGACTGAAGCTGTTCAAATGCATATTTTTCACAATCTTTCCTTATGTAGTGAACTATATAACATTGACTGTGCAGTGAATATTGAATAAATGAACGAGTCAGCAGTTTCAGAAGAAACAGATCAGATTTCATCTCTTACAGTAGGGGCAGTCAGTCCTAAAGATTTGTCAGATTTGTGCGCAGTGTAAACAAAGTTATAGTCACAGTGTCACATATCATGTGAGGTTTGACTTTTCCAGCTTGCATGCTTGACTAAACAATTATGTAATGATTGGGTGATCCGTTTCTTGGAAATGACCCCAAAACCCAATAATGGCATGTGTACTCTAATGATGAAAGAGAACAAAGTGAACTTGACATGAAGACTTTGAACTTCAGGAAGGTGGGAGGATGTTTAAAAGAGGTGTCTGAGTTCATCATGTCCCTCTTGATTTCAGGTTCAGGCCACAGTAGTCGGCTTCCTGGCTTCCATCGCTGCAGTCATTTTTGGCTGGATTCCAGAGGGTAATTTTAAGATTGGCCATGCCGTCCTGCTCTGTGCCAGCAGCGTGGCCACCGCATTCATCGCTTCTTTGCTGCTAGGTGAGAGGGTTGAGACGGCTACAATCTTCAAAATAAAGGTTCTTAAATGGCATTGATGGTTCCACAAAGAATCTTTCACAAAATCTTACACAAAAGGTTCTTAACCGTGGAAAAAGGTTCTTTAGATGTTCTTCATGCTAAAACATTTTTATTTTCAGAACTGTTCACAGAAAGGTTCTTTGGGAACCAAAAATGATTCTTCTATGGCATCGCTGCAAAACGCCGATTTTGGAACCTTTATTTTTTCAGGAGTGTACTTCTCAGTTACGAGAAACCGACACTGTACAGTACTACATTTGTTGTCATATCCTAGGAAGCATAAAACACATTCACAACATTGCAGTTTAGTTGCATTTAGATTGCATCTCAGTGAAGTGTGTTAAATCCATTTTAAAAAGCACATTTCAAAAATATGATGTGCTGTGTATGTATTTAGATTACCAACAAAAAACTTATTTTAGTTGCAAATGCGTCTGTTTTAATTATTTATTATGTTTCAAAATGTCAAAACGTTTCAATGCGTCAATGGATGCACAAGATCTGCAAAAACTTGATATACAAAATAATTTTTTGCATATGCACATATATATGTATTTTGCATATGCACATATATATATATATATATATATATATATGTGTGTGTGTGTGTATATATGTTTCTACTAGGGATACAACAATACAGTTAGCCCACGGTTCAATACATTCCTCAATTTTTTTTAAACTCCTGTACACTTCTGTATGCTGGAGAAAGACTTGGATTATTATGTCTACTTTTTATTTTGAAATAAGTAGTATTTTTCCTATTTTTACCCAAAGTAGGATGAATTGGCCATTATTGAGCGCTATAAACACATGTAATGTTTGTTTCATTCATACTGGACACCAGAGGGTGCACTCGCACAGAAACTCCACATATGCATCACAGAAGTAATAGAACAGCGATAGCGTTGCCTTTGTCCATATTAAGGATTTCCTGGAGCGGTTGTGGCTAGAAGGGATATAGCTACGGCCGGAAGTGGCACAAAATCTCACCGGATGAATGGGAAGAAAGTGAAAGAGAAAATAAAATAACAATAAATTAAATGGACAGTAAAGAAGACAGCTAGCGAGTCTATGTTGTAGCAAAGACCTTTGAACCAAAATCTCTTAAAAGAAGACAACTAGCGAACTAGAATTTGCAAGACTTGCGTCACTTCCGGTCGTAGCTGTATCCCTTCTAGCCACAACCGCTCCAGGAAATCCTTTATATGGACAAAGGCATCGCTATCGCTGTGACTGAATAAAAAGAAGAGAGAATGATGAAACATGAAGACAATAAACACTTGACTGTGACAATATATGGTATATCTGTGTTTTTCTAGCCATCTCTGGTATTTTTATAATAATTAAGTATATTTTTAATCCATTGCTTCTCGACATTGCCTTTTTTACAGTATAGAATATATTTCTGCCCCATTCGGTGACAAGAAGCCACATCAGATCACATTCGACTGATGTTGTGGAGTAAAAGCATGTTATTATGTTCTCTTTTGTTGGACAACAGGTTTAGAATGAGAGCCAATTTGGAGAGGAAAAAAATGCACAGAAATTATTAATACGGCAAACCGGAAAAAAACGAAATTCACAAGCACGTATTGAACCGTGGATGTCATAACGAACAGTTCAATATTATATTGATAATTGTGGCATCTCCAGTTTCTACAATGTGTACTCGCGGTATGTATTGTGTTGTAGTGTTACTTTTAAAAAGTTATCTGTTGAATTAAGCATGTAGAGTTTAAAGCGTTATGACAACCTAAAAAGAAACGTACTAGCTGAGGCGAGTAGCAGCTAATGCTTGTTTTTGAACCTGGAACGACAAAGCAGCTCCGAGGCATCTCCAGTTTCTACAATGTGTACTCGCGATATGTATTGTGTTGTAGTGTTACTTTTAAAAAGTTATCTGTTGAATTAAGCATGTAGAGTTTAAAGGGGTCATATGATGCGATTTCATTTTTTCCTTTCTCTTTAGAGTGGTGTTACTTTTAAAAAGTTATCTGTTGAATTAAGCATGTAGAGTTTAAAGCGTTATGACAACCTAAAAAGAAACGTACTAGCTGAGGCGAGTAGCAGCTAATGCTTGTTTTTGAACCTGGAACGACAAAGCAGCTCCGAGGTCTCATTTCAACACTAGAGTGGAAATATATCCTCCAAACAGGAGGTATCAAAAACGAAGAATGTCTAGTCTTCATTGTTTGGGATTGAGACAGTCTCCTGTGTTAATTCCACCATTTCATCGCTAACTTGACAAATCTTTCCTCTTCTCTTCCGCCCAGGTCTTATCATGATTGGGGTTATCATTGCATCCAGGAAGGTTGGCATCAACCCAGACAATGTGGCCACCCCAATTGCAGCCAGCCTCGGTGACCTGATCACCCTGGCGCTGTTGGCTGGCATCAGTACGGGCCTGTATAAGGAGCTCGGTGAGTGGATGCCTCAGTTCTTTGGCTGAGCTCGTCAGGAACACTGGCGTAATCGGATATCTACTGTCAGGCAGATATATGAGCAGGCACACTAAATTTTGTAGATTCACATACATTTTAGCGGACAACTTGTGAACTTGTGTTTGTATGTCCTAACTGAACATATCAGAAGTCAGTATCTTCTTTAATTAGCCAGGTTATGCCACCTTCTGTATCAGAAAACTTGCTCTGCAGAGGAACAGTCAGGGAGAAAATGGCATCTCAACACTTGCTTGATGATTCAAAAATAACAACAGCAAATCAGTATATTAAAATGATTTCTGAAGGATCATGTGACACTGCAGACTGGAGTAATGATGCAGAAAATTCTGCTTTGCATCACCGGAATAAATTACATTTTCAAATGTATTCAAATAGAAAACTGAACAGTTAAACATTTCTTCTGAGGGTTATCATGGTTTTTGTATACTTTTGATTCTCATGAGTAATACATTCAGTCAGATTTCCCCATGCTGAGTCATGTTAGAGCGTAGTGGAGCTTGTTGGGGCATGTCGGGGCTTGTGAACGCCACCTGATTTGTGAGTTTCTTTGGTGCACCTATTAGACTGCAGTCTCTCCCTTTAGACCACATAAAGCAACAACATAAAGTGGGAGCAAAATTCTAGTTTAGATTGCAATGTTAGTTGAGCGTTCTTGTGGCAACACCTTGGTGTTTTGATGTGCGGTGAACAGTACTGAAGTGAGAGTGTGCATATGGAAACATTTATGGTAAAGGTTGATTGCATGTTTATGTCTTATCGAACCTCAAAGACCAAACGGTCTGGATGTAAACATATAAAACGGCCAAAGTGAAAATAGTAGGTCAACCAAGCTTTCATCTTACCCAACTTCTCCAGAATCTGGGTATAAAATTGCACCCAAAAGAATGTTGTGTTATTGTTATTTCTCAACCGGCTTTGGTTTTGAAACTGAACTGGTGTTGAATTCCACAAGTCTTGCATTAAACATGTTATTGATGACAATTCAATCTCGAGTAGAGATCTGTATTTTATGACCATTATTTTACGATGACTTCAGAATTATAATGTATTATATTTCCTATCTTCCTTTTTTAAGTGGAATAATATATTATTATATGAATAATAATATTGCCATCAAGTTTCAAAAAGCATTCAATTTCCAGAAAAAAAACAAAAAAATGTATAAGTAAATATGTACAGTATATATATATATATATAT